TCTTAAGTTTAAATCTTTAATCCAGTGAGAGTCTATCTTAGTTAATGGTGAAAGGTTGGGTCCAGTTTCAGTCTTCTACAGGTCACCAGCCAGTTCACCCAGCACCATTTGTTAAATAGGGAATCTTTTCCTCCACTGAATATTTTTAATTGGCTTGTTAAAGATCAAATAACGGTAAGTAGCTGGGTTCATCTCTTGGTTCTCTATTCTGTTCCAGACATCTACCTCTCTTTTTGTGCCAGTACCATGCTGTTTTGATCACTATCGATTTATAGTATAGTTTGAGGTCTGGTAGTGTGATTCCTCCTGCTTTGTTTTTATTTCTGAGTAATGTCTCGGCTATTCAAGGTTTTTTCTGATTCGATATAAAATGCAGTATTATTTTTTTGAGATCTTTAAAGTATAACAGTGGAGCTTTAATAGGGATTACATTAAAATTGCATATTGCTTTGGGTAGAATGGACATTTTAACAATGTTGATTCTTCCCAGCCATAAGCATGGTATGTTTTTCCATTTGTTAACATCTTTAGCTATTTCTTTTCTTAGAGTTTCTTAGTTCTCTTTATAGATATCTTTCACATCCTTTGTTAGGTAAACTCCCAAATATTTCATTTTCTTTGGCACTACTGTGAACGGAATAGAGTTCTTGACTGTTTTTTCAGCATGACTATTGTTGGTATATATAAAGGCTACAGATTTATGAGTATTGATTTTGTAACCTGAGACACTGCTGTATTCCTTGATCACTTCTAAGAGTTTTGTAGTAGAATCCCTAGTGTTTTCAAGGTAATACAATCATATCATTTGCGAAGAGTGAAAAAGTTTGATCTCTTCTGACCCTATATGAATACCCTTGATTGCCTTTTCTTGCCTAATTGCAATGGCTAAGACTTCCATTACAATGTTAAAGAGTAGTGGAGATAATGGGCAACCTTGCCTGGTTCCTGATCTGAGGGGAAATGATTTCAATTTAACTCCATTCAATACAGTATTGGCTGTGGGTTTGCTATAGATGGCCTCTATCAGTTTAAGAAATGTCCCTTCTATATGAATTTTCTTAAGTGTTCTGATCATGAAAGTATGCTGAATATTATCAAAAGTGTTTTCTGCATCAATTGAGAGAATCATATGATCTTTGTTTTTACTTTGTTTATGTAATGAATTATATTTATAGATTTATGTATATTGAACCAGCCTTGAGACCCTGGGATAAAACTTGATCATGGTATATAATTTGTTTGCTGTGTTGTTGGATTCTATTTGCTAGGATCTTGTTGAATATTTTTGCATCAATATTGATTAGTAATATTGGTCTATAATTTTCTTTTCTTGTTGGGTCTTTTCCTGGTTTGGAGATCAAGGTGATGTTTGCTTCATAGAATATGTTGGGTAGTATTCCTTCTTTTTCTATATTTTGGAGAAGGTTAAGTAATAGAGGTACTAATTCCTCTTTAAAGGTTTGGTAGAATTCTGGTGAAGCCATCTGGTCCTGAGCGTTTCTTTTTAGGGAGATTTTGTATAGTTGATGCTATTTCAGAACTTGATATAGGCCTGTTCAATATTTCCACTTCATTCTGGCTAAGTCTAGGAAGGTGGCATGCTTCCAAGTATTGGTCTATTTCCTTCACATTTTATGTATTTCTGAGAATAGAGTTTCTTGTAATATTCATTAAGGATTTTTTTAAATTTCTCAGGGGGTTGTTGTTAATTTGATTTTTATCATTTCTGATTGATGAAATTAGAGATTTTACTCTTTTTTTCCTGGTTAGGTTAGCCAAATGTTTATCTATTTTGTTGACCTTTGCAGAAAAGCAGCTTTTTGATTTATTGATCTGTTGTATAATCCTTTTGTTTTCAACTTCATCTAATTCTGCTCTAATTTTGGTTATTTCTTTTCTTCTGCTGGGTTTGGGATGGGAATGTTTTTCCTTTTCCAGTTGCTGGAAATGTCCCATTAAGTTGTTAACGTCCTCTCTTTCTGTCATCTTGAGGAAGGCTTGCAGTGCTATACATTTCCCTTGTTGGACTGGCTTTGCAGTATCCCAGAGGTTCTGATAATCTGTGTCTTTATTGTCATTTTTTTCCCAAAATTTGGTAATTTCCTTCTTAATCTTGTCTATGACCGAGCTATCATTCAGCACAAGGTTATTTAGCTTCCTTGTTTTTGTATGAGTATGCAGATTCCTGTTGTTATTGAGTTTAACTTTCATTCCATGATGGTCCAAGAAGATGCAAGGAATAATTTCTATTCTTTTAAATTTGCTGAAGTTAGACTTGTGACCTAAGATGTGATCAATTTTGGAGGATGTTCCATGGGCTGATGAGAAGAATGTGTATTCAGTTTTGTTAGGATGAAATGTTCTATAGATGTCTGTTAAATCCAATTGAATGGTTAAGTTTAAGTCTAGAATTTCTTAGCTTAGCTTCTTTTTGGAGGACATATCCAACACTGCAAAAGTGTTAAAATCTCCCAACTATTATGGATCTCCTTATATTTGAAACTCTCTTTTCTTCACTTCCACTCTGTCCTTTTTTGAGGGTTTATTTTTTTCTCTTGTTGTTTGGAACATTCTGTTTACTCTGTGTTGTGGGATTTGTTGACAGGCACATTTCCTTATGGCTTTTGCTCATAAAGACTGCTATAGCTCTGTGTGTTGGTGGGGACTGTCTTAGAAACTTGTTTTCAAGGAAGCACATAGCAAATCATTAACAGCCTAAGGTCTGAAAACTATATTAGGTGGGGAGAGAGACAGATGTTCACTGTTGGAGCCTGGATTAGGTATAGGATCATGTATTACTAAGTAGGCCGTCAGAGTGTCTTAACAGTTCAGAGCTGGTAAGGTCTGTAGAAATCCGTAATCCTTATTAAAGTTGAGAAAACAATGGCCTTGAGAGATTTTTATGACTTTGCCAAGGCTGCATTAGGAAAGCCAAAGCAAGATCTCATATTTCTCAGCTTCCATGTTATTGCCCTGGCAACACTGATAGATGTTTTATAATTTGTGGCACCTTCTACACATTTACTTGTTTCTTATTAATTAGACCCAAAACGTGAATTTTGTTAGTATTTTTCTAAATATCTCATTCCAGAAGAATGTTTGTTGTGGCAGGCTCAGGGGGTTTACAAAATAATTGTTTATTTCTTTTCTAGAGCAAGTAAATGAATTAGTGGCTTTGATCCCACACAGTGATCAGAGATTACGCCCTCAGAGAACGTGAGTTACCTGCTTCCACCTGTTAATACCTATTTCTGTCCCTAGTCCCTTTTTCAGTTTCCTGTTTTCTTTATTACTGTTTACCTGAGCAAGATATGTCTGCTCCCATTACAATCTGGAGAAAGAAATTTGAAGCTAGAAATGTTCTGAGGGCCAAATAAAGGAATGGAATTGGAGAAATGGGTGTTCTGGGAGGTACAGAAATGTCTCTGTCCACACAGCTCCTCTCTCCAGTTTTTCTTCCTAGGGTACAAACAGTGTTCAAACAAGTTTAAAAAGGCTTCCTTGCTTCACTCCTTTTTGGCTGGTTTGTGATTCATGGCACTTTGAACTTCCCTTTCACTCTCTCCTTCCTGGTTTTATATTTAATCTTGACCAATTGGACCGTGATGTCTGACTTTCCGGGTTGGTCATGTGCTGTGTCATTTGCAGTAAGCAGTATGTCCTCTTGTCCATCCTGCTCTGTCTCCTGGCATCTGGTTTGGTGGTTTTCTTCCTGTTTCCACACTCAGTCCTTGTGGATGATGACGGCATCAAAGTTGTGAAAGTCACATTTAATAAACAGGACTCCCTTGTAATCCTTGCCATCACGGTAAGATTTAGGGCTTCATTTCCTGGGTTGTGCACCTGCCACTTTTCAACTCAGGATACTTACACTTGTTTCCTCACTTACCCTGATGTAGGCCACTCTGAAAATCAGGAACTCCAACTTCTACCCTGTGGCAGTGACAAACCTATCCAGCCAGATTCAGTACATGAACACGGTGGTTGGCACATATGCAACTACTAATGTCTCCCTCATTCCACCTTGGAGTGAGCAACTGGTATGCTGTTCTTACAGGAATCTTGCCCCCAGGCTTAAGAGAAAAGTAGGGGTTATGGGAATGCCTTAGCTATGTTACTTTTCTTTTCATCTCCTCATTTTCACCTGTATGAACTGGTTGGTGAGAAAGACCTGACAGGCTCTGTAATTATGAAAAATTATGAGAGAAAATTTAGCTAGCATTTAAGCACTTGAGGAGCAGAAGAATTCGTAAAAGAGTAGTCTGAGGTCCCTTGGCCTCAGAAGGGAAGATGTTAGAAGTGTTTATTAGAGGCTCATAGACTGTATCAGGCACAATCTCAAGGAAGTATTTTGTGTGTGATGGGAAGAATGATCCAGGGTCTTTGGTTGCTGATAGTAGTACTGTTCTATGTCAACCTGCTTGGCCACAGACTGACTCTGGTATCTTATTTTCAGGTGAATTTTACCGGGAAGGCTGAAATGGGAGGACCATTTTCCTATGTGTAGTAAGGACAATGTTCTCCAGATATGTGCTCTCTAATGAATGAAAAAGTCATACTTCATTGATTGGAGTCTAGCCTCAACCTTTGGGTTGAGGTTGGGTATAGGTTCCCAGCAAAAGGAGTGTCTTGAGATTTATTTGGAGGATGTGTGGCTGATTTGATACGTGACTGAGTGTGGAATTTCTGAAAGAATATTAACTCACTTGAAACATTACTAAGCTCCAGCATGTATGTGATGGGTTTGGAAAAACAAAAAAGAATTATGATGTGGGAGGATGAGAACAACTGTGAGCCTCGGGAACTCTTTGGTCCAAGGGGGGCCCCCCAGATGGGTGTGACTGCTGCTCAGTTTGTCAGTGTAACTCTGCACTATTCTGCTGAAGCTCCTTTCTGTTCTTTTTTTTTTTAACCAAACTGACCTTGTTTATATTTGCCGTTTGGTAGCTTCTTCTGCACATTACCGGATATCCTGGTGCACAACATAGTGATCTTCATGCGGTATGTCATGCTTTTCCTTACCCTGATGGCCCTTATGTTTCAGCCTGAAGCGTCAGGCCATCTGATGTTAGCACCTTTGCTCAGGAGATACTGTGTGACTCACAAGGCAGAGGTACCTAGCCAAAGAGGGGACACCCAAGGCCTCACAGACACAGACACAGTAGAGTCCTGGTGTTCTCCAGATGATGCCCAAATTCCCTTCAGAAATCATATTCACAGTGAATAGTGGAACATACGGTTTTCTCCATGAAACCAGGTCTGGTTCAACTTAATATGTGCTCTGATCCCTTAAGAATCCTAATGAGAGCAGTAGTGAATATAAGAACTTTCTCAGGGCATAAGTACTGGGTATTTGACCAGATGATACTCCAGTCACATAAACTACCTCATGTCCTGGACCTTTAGAGCTATTCCTGAAACCCATGACTATTAAACTTGTAGGTGACAAGAGTCTGCAACAAACATTTGAAATATGTGGGGTTAACAGGACTTCTCAGCCGTGGCACTATTAACATTTTGGGCCAGACAGTTCTTTGATATAGGGGGTTGTTTCTTGTACTGTAGGATGTTAACGTATCCCTGGCTTTTACTTACTTGATGTCAGTAATACCACCTTCTATCCTTCTCAGTTGTAACAACCCAAAATGTCTTCAGATATTGCCAGAAGTCTGTGGGTTAAAGTCTTCCCTGGTTGCCAACCACTTATTTAGAAGGTTACCCCATACACAGCATCTGTATGGATGTGGAAAGATATTCTGGCCTCTTAGTTACATAACCTTGAGAATATATTCCTTCTTAGACCCATGGGTATTGTTGCCCAAACTTGCAAGAAATTATTTGGGCAATTTTTCTTGGTTATTTCATCTTGAAAACAATAAATTCTGCTTCTTTTTTTTTCCTCCTAGAACATCAGTGAAGATTTCATACATTGGCCATGTGACCCAGAGATCCTTGGAGACACATCATTATGTGGATTGTGGAGCAAATTCCACAGCTGTTTAGCAACTGCTCTTGGTTTTTCTTTAGCAGCACCCATAGAAGAGAGCACAGTACCTGTTTCCAAGGCCTGAGTTTCATACCTCTGCCAGATGGTATAGCAGAGGAGGAATTGATTCTCTTAACTTCCAGCAAACATCCTCCTGCCACTTAGAAAGAGTCTCCTTGCTATAGTACCAGCTATTGTCTCACAGCCAGCAGAATCACTGCTTAGTGCCTAGCCTGTGCCCAGCAAATAGTAGGCACTCAATAAAGGTTTGCAGAATGTAATTCACATCTTTCCACCTGTTCTTGGGGGCACTTAAAGAGAAATTATACCATGGTTCTAAGTTATCAAACCAGATTGCCATGGAGCTAGAGCTGTTAGTGCAGCCACAGACTATTACCAGTGTCTCATCTGCACAGGAGTGGCAGCAGAGAGGGACTATCTGAATAAAAGAAGAAAGCACAGGCCTGTTCAATATGTGAATTTCTTTCATTGGTTCCCAAATGCATGGGAGCTTTAAAAAAAAAAAAAAAGTATAGGTTTCTTTTTTTTTTTAATCTAGAAAGTGGCAATTGTTTTTATCAAGATCTATATGGGGTTTCACTTACCCTTCATCCACTGGCTGGAACGTGGTTTGGGGATTTGATAGAAAAATAAACCCTGCTTTTGATTTATCTGTGTCTCTTCTGATTGCCTGGGTGTCTTAGCAGGCACCTATTGGAAACCACAGAATAGTTACCTGCTGAATGGGATGGGAAGGAAAGAAGGAGCAGCCCCACTTTCCTCCACCTTTCTCTTGGGGCAACAGGCTGCCCTACGGCTCTTCCAGTGGAGCACTTAGTGCCCATAGAAGTTGAAAGAGGCAGGATAGAGGTGCCCTAGGAGTGAAAAGGGGAAATTTCCCTCAGGAGGAAGAACTATTGCCCCTCACATCCCCACTAGCTGGCTTGAGTCCTGAAGTCCTGAGACCTGGTTTGAGAGTGAATGTTTCTTGAACATTCTTCACCCTCTTGGTTACTAGAGGGTGGACTACAACCCCAAGCTGGCAGAGAATTAACTGGGATCTAAGCTTGAGTAGTCAGGTTTCACAACAAAAGCTGAGGTGGGCACAGCTTCTCCTGTGGCACTGGGGCTGTTGAAAACCTGACAACAGGCTCAGTGCCTGTGGCTCAAGTGGCTAAGGCGCCAGCCACATACACCTAAGGTGGAGGGTTCGAATCCAGCCCGGACCCGCCAAACAACAATGACGGCTGCAACCAAAAAATAGCTGGGCGTTGTGGCGGGCGCCTGTGGTCCCAGCTACTTGGGAGGCTGAGGCAGGAGACTCGCTTGAGCCCAGGAGTTGGAGGTTGCTGTGAGCTGTGAAGCCACAGCACTCTACCCAGGGGGACAGCTTGAGGCTCTGTCTCAAAAAAAAAAAAAAAAGAAACCTGACAACAGGTGGTGGGTGGAGTTTTCTATTAGTTTTTGTTCCCATTCCCATAGATTGATTTTCAGTATTCACTTAGTGACTTTTATACTCTGAATCCTCATACTAGGGTTAAATTTCATGACTGTTTGCTTGACATTGACCATGATGGAGCACCCCAAAAGTTGAGGGTTGAAACAGTTACACTGGATCACACAGCAGTGTGTGTGCGTGGCGGTGTAGACTGTGATGTGTATTGGTGATGCAATGTCACCACGGCACGGAAGCAAATGTGTACCACTTCTGAGAATGTTGCCTAAACTCAACATACCCTGAACACATGAAGAGGGTCACATCAGTACATTTCCTCTTATTTTTCTGGTTTCCCAAATAGCCTCTGTAGCATATTATTCATATAATTTTGAACAAGTTATTCATACTGCTACTTCAGCTTCAAATCACTTTTGGTTACCATGTGCCTCAATAAAATTTCTTGCTTTTGATTTTACCTTAAAATCCAGATATGATATTAAAATAAGACCATGTAAGTTTTTTAACACAGCAATAAGTCTGATCTCATGATGCTATGAATTCTGCTATCTGTTTATATTTTTAGCATCCCAAACTACACTTTGGGATGCTGTGCATAGTTTTATCATGGTGTCTGTCAATTCTTGAACAAATGCCTAGGATATTCTCTCAGCAACCCCAAAATAGAGGAAGTGGTTGGTTTAAGTGTCAATATAATCACCATTGTCTGCTAGTAGATTGAAATTTGCAGTGTGTCTTGAGGCTTTGCAAGCCATCGCTATAGCTTCTGGCTTGTCTGATGCTGTGACCTCTTCTTGATTTCAAACCACTTAAACCAGGTCACCTGATTGAAGAGTTGTTTCATAACTTTGTCCAATTACTCATTCCAAAAAAGTATGCATGGAGCCCCTGTGGTATGCCAAGGATTGCAATTTCTAAGGCATTTTGTCCAGAGCCAAAGCTGGAGTTTAAAACATCATCACAGCCTTTTGTCTTCACCAGGCCCTATATAGGCCAGAGTTTACCTCCGCCAACTACTTGTAGCCTTACCCCAAAGCAGGACTACTGAGATCATCAACTCCCCTGGGAACGCTGGCCCAAAGTGTGAAAGAAATTATTAAAAGATTAATAATTATTATTATCAGCCTATTTGTTAAAAGTGCTACATGAATTGATAGTGTCCCAGATAGTCTCTCTTGACAAAATAATCTTTATTCTTTACTTGGTAAGTAAAATTCTTCATTAGCTTTTCAGCATTCATTTAAGACTCTGTTCCTTCCAATTGTTCAGAAGGGGAAATGACTTCAGAAGTTCTGTGATTTACCCAGGGTCCAAGTAACTCAGACTGCTGACTCCTAGTCCACATGCTTGCCACTTCCATGGCAAATGTGAGGGAAGCTCAAAAGAGAAAGTAAGCTGGCCAGTCAGCTCTATCCCCTCAATCCTGCTGGGGTTAGGACCTCATCTAACAGGTTACTCTGCCTGGAGAGACCATCCTTCTTTCCTGGAGTTAGAGACATCATGGGAATTAGCTGAGAACCTCTGGACAAGGGAGCAGCAAAAAAGAGCACAGCACTGGCAGGCAGAGGGGTGCATTCTGAGCGGCCCTAGCTGCAGGCAAAGGCAGAGTTCTCTGTGCCACTCTTCCCTGGGCTCGATCTTCTGAGTCACACCTCAGACCCCTGTGGAGCAGTTGCTATTATTTCTAGGTTGTATGGGCACTTAGGGTGGGCTGCAAGGAATCACTTGGTTTCCAGGGATTTCTCTTGCAAGGGTCTAAGCTGATGGTCACTAGCTACTGAATAGGTTGTTCAGAATGAAAGCTCAGATGCCTTTTGGGAAGAGAAGTGAGCAAAGGAGCTGCATGGGCTTTGGAGTGTGGTGGGTCGGAAGGGAGCTCAGCTACTTGGCTCCACCTGTTGCCCAAACAAGAGCACCCACATACCTCCCCTGCCCTCCCCTTACCCTCATTATATCTCCCGTAGATGGAAGTGATGTTTATTTTAAATTATGAGACAGTTATCCTAATTATGTGTTTTTAGTTACCATGCTTTCATTTTACTTCTTTATTATTGTCATGACTATGCCAAACATTTTGTAAAACACTACTGTCCTTGATCTCATTGCTTTTGTCTCCTACTCATTTGACATGACCGCCATGGCCCTCTAGTGGAGAAGGGGACAACTTGCTCATTTTTGCCACATACCCAGGTCAATGGAAAATAAGGGACACCTCATAGTGGGAAGAAATGGGAGGCTGCCCATTCAAGCCTGGTACTCAGAGGAAGTGAATGGGAGGGAGCTTTAGGTGCAGGCCCTAAAGTGAAGAATTGTGGCTGAAAGGGCAGGAAAGGGAAATGGGGACGGGGGGCAGGGGGGCAGGTAACATTTTCTTGATCTGAAAGTCTTATATAAAGACAAAATAAATAGATCACCTAGATGGATCGTGCACACTTATCACAGGGCCCAGCAGGACTTGCTGCCCCGCCCCCTTCCCTCATCGCCCACCTTTGCTAGAGCATCTCCCACCTGGCCCATCCAGTGGGATGTGGCCCATACACGTTCCTGTCCCCCAGGCTGGCAGGGCATCTCACTTCCAGCATTAATCTGCCACAAAGCTGTGCTCAGAGCAAGGCCATCCCTCTGGTGTGCCTCCCTTCCCAAATTCTGTTCTCTGGTCCCTGCTCACCACTGGGTTCCACCCACTGCCAAGGTTTACAAGAGAGGCAAGTTCGCATTTGTGTGCAATTCCTAACCCAGGCAGTGTGGCTCCAGAGACCTCACTCTTGGTAAGTCAACAGAAGATGGCCTTAGGGCTGCTATTTGGATGTGCTTACAGGACCAAGGACTAATGGAAACCCAATAAAAGAACAAAACACAAGACAATATGTACTTTCCAATAATTTTTTTGTTTTTAATATCAATTGATGTTTTAAAAAATACAGAGGTGTTTGACACAGAATAGCACCATTGTGTAGGATACACACAGTTCCTGCGCCCAGCACCTGAAGGGGATCTTCTCGCCTGGGCTGGGGGCAGTCACTCAGGGGGCATTTGACTCACACCAGTTAGTTTCCTGCCTCTGTCTTGACCCAAAGGTCTTACAGGAAGACAATAAATAAATAGAACACCGAGATTTTATTTTGCAGTCTGCCCAGTTCAGGTCTCTTAGAAAGAGAGGGGAGAAAAGTCCAAACTGTGAGAGGGGGGATGAATGGACATCAGGTCAGGTCAGCCATTCAGTGCAGAGTCCTAGAGTGACTGAGATTGGAAAGTACTTGGGTCCTTTGGATTTGCAATGGCTTGTGTTGTCTCTGGGTTCAGGTTTTTACAAGAAGCAGGCTGGCCCTATGTCCACACCAAATTCCTGGTCAGGCCCTCCTATGTCCATGGGTGCAATGTCAATGATGGGGAGGCGTGAGGTCTTCTGTGACCGGTACTCGATGACAGTCTTGTCCCACTTACCGGTGTGTTTCTAGTCAGGGAAAGGAAGAGACACCAGTCAGTAAATGCCTGGCAATCCAGGACCAGCTGCCTAGAACCCCAAAACTGAGCAACCTGATGAGTATCCACAAAGTATGAGCCCCCCCCAAAGTAGGGGGCTTCCTGGCTCCTCTCTCTTTTCAGCTTGCCAGAGCCCTCTGTGCATGAACTCCCAATTCTGAATGGCAGGGCCCTTCTCCACCCTGCCCTTCCCTCTTCCCTACCCCCTGCACTGAGGGCCCCACCTGTCCCCCATCTTCGCTTTGTTCAAACAGTTCTACAAGAATCACTGGGTACCCTGGGTAGGGTTTTGTTTCCCCTGAGCCAGAAGAGGGAGAAGATGGAACAATATGTGCCTCTTCCTCACTTGTCACTCAGCTGTGTTCTCTGAGGTAACCTCCCCCCCCCCCAACTCATGCCTCTGGGGGACCTGGACACCTGCTGCAGGCCCACCCTCAGCCCCACTCCAACTCGCCCCGCTCCAGCTCGCTCACTCACCGTGCAGCCATCCTTCAGGGTGGTGTATGTGAACCTGCTGTTGCCCTCTGCCCGGATCTCTACGTCATTGGAGCCCTGGATGAGCAAGGCCTTCTTAAGGTTGCCAGCTGCTTCGTCCAGGTAGGCAATGCTGTTCTTGCAGTGGTAGGTGATGTTCTGAGAGCCCTCCGTGGACAGCAGACGTAGGAAGGTCATCTGGATGCTGGCAGTGTTGGGAGCCAGGTTGTCATCTCCATAGCTGAACTGTCGGGGCAC